TCCGCCGCTTATTAAGCCCAATTTGTCTGGGCCCGAGGTGGGCTTAATAACCGGCGACTACTGTACTAGTCAGCTGGGATTCAAGCCGCCTCTTTCTTTTAGGTCTATTCCACACGAAGCAGTTGTGAGTGATATGGGTAGACGGGCTGGTTGGCGACTACATCCTGTCCCGCCCCCGTTCTCCTCGACGTTTTTTCATGGCGCCGAGCTCAAATGCGTGAGAAGAGAGAGCGACAGATAGAGCGGACATTCGAGGCTCCCTTGTCTTTCCCAGCAATACTATGCGTCTAGACTACCAGCCACTGTGTGCCACTGCTATCCGGGCCCAAGAAATGAGACCAGAGTAATATCCGTTGGCGATCGATGGACGAGTGTCAATAGTGAGTGTCAATATCTACCGCGCTAAACCGGCAAGGCAACGAGCTCGTGATTAGAGCGTTAGATCGCGAATCCCAGCCTCGGGTCGTGCACCACTTGGGATTTGGTATGACTGGCTGAAGATGGCTAATAAGCCCGAGATTATTATTCCTGTCTCCCTTGTCTTTGCCGACAATAATATCTGATAGAGCGTGAGCCTACGATCACTGAAAACCAATTCACGTGCGAGTCAACTTCCATGCGCCAACCATGCTGTGGAACACAAGGTGGACATCGTCTGAAACAAGGGTTAAATCGTTAGGTAGTAGGAGATATTCATGCAGGATCGTTATTGGCACTGAACAGAAGGCAAAATATCCCGTGGCTTCATGGAGGGGGGCAACACCTTTGCCAACTACTACTTGATGCGGTCAATCTGGCCTCAATCAAAAGGTATCGTTACCACTTTCGGCACAAGCTTCCAATTTTGTTGCCCAATTGCGTCTCCCCTAGTCGCCTGGCACTAAGCTACAAGGCAACAGTGGAAAAGTAATCCATCAAATGACGGTTCATAATTATAAGGTTACAGTTCGGTCATCCCACTCTGCTGTATTTTATGGGTCTCCGCGCTCTGATAGCATTGCCACGGGTTATAGACGGTATAAGTCTGCTTAAGAATACACGAGTCTCTAGTTCTGGTTGCCAAGAGCATGCACATACCATCACAGGAAGGCTATGAAGGAACAAAAGTTCATGAACAACTATCAAGCTTGACAAGATAGTTGAGAGCGGAGAAGATCCTGTGTACCTGGCTGAAGTTCCGCCGCCAGCTGTCTGTGTTTACAGGGCGCGGTAACCTTGAAGGTCGCTGGGTGGAAGTCCTGCGCTATCAACGGACTGTATGAGCATAAAACGTGCGTCCTCCTCAGCAGAATTGTCGTCAAAGAGACACCAACTCTCGCTCTGTCTTACTGCCGAAGACGGGCCAGGTAGCTCAAAGTCTGGAGGAAAGTTACTAGTTAGCCTAACTGCTGGCTACATGACGCAGCCACCGATGGCGGATAGTTGAACGGCCTTCAGCGAATGTTAGCCGCAACATAAGCAGGCTCCTAGGTCTGGCGAATAAGCAGCCGCGGACCAGCAGCGACAGTGTTACAAGGGAGCGGCGGATTGAGGTCTGGAGAACCAACTGTCTTATAAAAAGCCGCAAGTTCCAATTACGGCACTGTGACACGGCGACCGCGAACCGTCATTAGGAAGGTTTGCTTGCCATCGCTGCCTTGTAGTTAGGTTATCGAGCCAAAGTGCAAGAGAAGACAACTTCGAACAACCAATCCGAGCCGCTGCTGGGGAGACGCCTGTATTCAACACCCCCAATATCCCTCATGAAAATGTCCACAAATAAGTCCGGGAAACGGAAAAACACGTATTCTTGTCCTCCTAGAGCCATTACTCCAATCCCGCATACTACTATGATTCGCGTTTACTCGTATGGGCAGCACCAATGCAGTTCATAGTTCAAATTACCATTAAGAAAGCATTACTCACATGGCGCTCTTACGGAACACCGACACTATCCCCTTCCCTAGACCTGAATTTAACAAATCAGCTAATGTTAGTCGGCTGCTAGGACGGCGCCAACAATCAAAAAGACGGATTACTTGCTAGTCTGGCTGCTGGCTATCCTGAGCGTCTAAAATTGGCGAAGAGTGGAACGGTTAGCTGAGAAATAATCAGGCTCTCGGAGCTGTTGAATTAGTAGTCGCGGACCAGCAGCGACAGTACTATCAGAGCATCAATGGCTGATATTTGACACACCCAGTGCCTTATAAAATGGCTCAAAGACCGATAACGGCACTGTGACATGGTGATAGCGAACCGACATTAAATAAGTTTGTTTGCCAGTACTGCCTTGAAGCCAGATTCCAGAAACCATGCGCTAGAGGAGACAGCCTCAAAATAAAAATCCGAACAACTGTTAGGGTCCTGCTATATTCCTAAGAAGCCTCAAGAAATCCGGACTATTTGTGTACTGCAATCCATAACACGGTATCTGTGGGGACCGATTCGATCCGCAACCCTTGCTCAATGGCGCGGGCGAATAGTATGCGATCAGGGCTACAAAATTGGTAACAGACTCCTAGAAATGGATGCTGAAATGTGCGAACGTTCCTGGACCCCAGTATTAAAAGTCTGACGATGCGGAGTGTTTGTTAGTACAAATTTGACGTCTGTTTCCTGAATCTCTGGCTCAGACGCTTAGGAAATGAAGTCAACTCCCAATTCATCCTGCACCACAGCAGCCCACGCGACTCTTCTGGTAGGCATGTTGTGGCACTCACCCTCTCACAACTAATGGATTATCTACTAATTGTTTTGGGAAG